AAAAAAAGACATATTATCTCACTTTTAACTTTTATCTGAAAGACTGAAGATTTATTTTCTCTCCAGTTACAAATACCTAAATCGTAATGCTGTACTGCATATTTAAAAGTTGTTGAGAGTAGATCTTTAAAGTCCTCATCACAAGAAAAAAAATTCTGGGGTGCCTGGATGGCTCAGATGGGTAAGCGTCTACCTTTGGCTCAGGTCATGATCCCAGCGTCCTGGGATCGAGTCCCACATTGGGCTCCTGGCTCAGCGGGGAGCCTGCTTCTCCCTCTCCCTCTCTCCCTGCTCATGCTCTCTCTCTCTGTATCTGTGTGTCTCGAATGAATAAAATCTTAAAAAAAAAAAAAAAAAATCTGTAATTATGTATAGGGATGCATGTTACCTAGACTTACAATGGCGATCATTTCCCAATGTATATAAATATTAAATCATTGTGTTGTACATCTAAAGCTTAGAGTGTATGTCAATTATATCTCAATAAAAAATTTATTCTCTAGTAAATGTCTATAAAATAATAAGTGCTTTTTCTGATTTCAAAACTTGAAAAAATCCGAATCAATTTGAAGGCTAGATGAAATTAAGAATGACAGGACTTTTCTTTCTGTCCAAGTGATCTTAAAACAGCTTGTTTTAACAACAATAAAGACACTATAGTTAAAATAAACTTGTGGGTGAATGAATAAAAGGATCTGCATCTTACTATAAATTTCAATGCTGAAATTTAATCTTACCAGGGACTTAAAAATCCCAATTTCTTCTATATAGCCTCTCTAAATTCTAAAAAAGTAATCACAATGTTGATACTCTGATTAAAACATCTTAAGGCAGTTGCCGATGCAAAGAAAATAAAGCTGTTTACTCTGAAAGATATAGACATAGATAATGCAAAAAAGGGGGAGGATACACACATATAGAAAAAAAGGGAGCAGAGATGAAAAATGGCAATACTGGAAAAGTAAAATTCTGAGGGAATGAATGAGACAGGCACAGAGAGAGACCAAGAGGAGGAAGAGATACAAAGACAGGGAGGAAAAAACACAACTAAAGAAAATGGAAGAAATAAGAGCAGAGACAGAAAAGCAACAAAGAAAGGTGAACAGAGTGGAACTGATGAGCAGACACAATGACAAGGAAATGGGACCAGATAGGTAAGACATAACTAGTTGAAGAAAAAATCATTTTCACCCAGTAAGTTTTCCAAATTACCTACTTTTGTTGCTATCTCCCCAGTGCTGCCACTGAAAAAGACACTTTATTTTTTACAAAATGGTTAAACAATGTATATTTCATTTATCTTGCAGATTTTTAAAAATCTTATTTATTGGGGCGCCTGGGTGGCTCAGTTGGTTAAGCGACTGCCTTCGGCTCAGGTCATGATCCTGGAGTCCCGGGATCAAGTCCCGCATCGGGCTCGCTGCTCGGCAGGGAGTCTGCTTCTCCCTCTGACCCTCCTCCCTCTCATGCTCTCTGTCTCTCATTCTCTCTGTCTCAAATAAATAAATAAAATCTTTAAAAAAAAATAAAATAAAAATCTTATTTATTGTAAGAGGCATAATTTTTGCCATCATTGAGGTTCACATATTGGATGTGAAATAACAACTTGATGGGGGAGGATTCTTTTATAATGTATACACCTATCAAATCATCATGTTGCACACTTTAAATATCTTACAATTGTCAATTATACCTCTATAAAGCTGGAAAAAGGTTCGTATGTAACAATATACTGGGGAAAGATCCCGAATTTTACATAATGCTAATATTTCCCCCCCCCCAAAGTAAAAAATGATAGTACCCTAGTTAGGCCAAATTCATCCCAAGGCAAGGACCTACAGAGCCATTTATGAATTCATACCACAATGGCATATAATACCACTAGACTGATAACACATTCTTAGTTGAAAATAACTTACCATTTAGAGTCAAAATCCAAACATTTTAGTCCTGTTTCCATTTTCTGCCCCCTTTGCTTCACTTGATATGTTATGCTCTATCTCTTCTATGTAGATTCTTTCAGTAGCCATCAATCTGAAGAATTCCTTCTTCTGCTGCCACCTACCAGTTTATCTCTCTGCTGCAGCAGAAGGGTATATAGAAAAAGTTCTTGCTTACTATTCAGATTAAATGGAAAAATTCCTTTAACATTTCATACTTTCACATGTGTATGAGCTTCCTCACTGATTCCCCAAGACCTCCCCACCAAAGTCAAAACAACAAAAATCCCAATCACAGAAAATCAAATAATGTAATGTATGATCAATATTCATGCTAAGCTGGAAATTTTTTTTTTTTAACTGGAATAACTGGAAACATTTAGACACTCAGCAGTTGCCATCTCAAGGAACCATTTCTTTTGTTATATTATCCTTTTTCACCTATCCCTACAATTTATGAATAAGTGTGCAATTTAAAATTTTAATGAGGTAGTCCACAACTCCTGCAAATTTTAAGTTCAGAGACTATTAAAGAATTGTGGAAGATGCAGCAATAAAGGAATTTTTAATAGTAATTCTAGAAACTAAAGGTGTTAGGTGCTTTACCTGCATGAGTTTTCAATGTTCTGGACTGCTTATTGCCCAATGGCTCTGAATACATTAAAACACGAACACATACGCCACCTATATTTAAAATAGGGTAGCATTTGTATGCCCATATAAGCATTGGGTATATCTTTGTGCAAGAGTAATAAAGTCACCGAGTCCTTTTTAAAAGGACTGATCACAAATGCACACTTCCTCAAACTGTATACATACACAAAAAAACTAGGGTTGAAAAGGGAGACAGAGGGACAAATGTAATAGCAGTTGTAAAACTGGAAACTAACACAACATAAATGTTTTGTGTCCTGAGATTCATTTCTATTCCCATTCTCTTTGTCACTGAAGGTCTAGGTTTCAAGTTTATTCTGTATTAGCTACTAAAGAACAGTATCCACTAATGAACTAGTAATAATAGTAATGGCTTGTTTTTGTTCCACCCTCCCACTACCTGTACCCCAAAACAGGTAGTTTTGCCAACATAAAACAAACATTGACATTAAGCACCAAAGGCTAGTCAACAGTGGCACTGCAGTGACATTGTTTCTACTTTCTCATTCCTTCCCCCGATCTCAAACCCCACCCCCTTTGACCTCTGTATGTGGGATGAGCCTGAGCAGGAGAGTTGGTGATGTCAGGACTGCGCCGTTCCCACGGATGCTCCTAGAGGCCTGCTGTGCTTCTGGGAACTGGGGCACAGTGATGTCTGTCTGACTGAAACCTAAAACAACAACAATTCACCCCACCCCTCATGTTCCCAAACCCCACAATAGCAGCCAGGTATATATGCTATATAAGGCCCAGCTAATAAGTTTGAATATGGTGAAATCTGAAAGCAAGATCATTCTTAACAAGTCCATGATCTTCATGGGGATAGCAGAATGGGGACTGTTAAAATTCTCTATGTCCCATGCAATCACATAGTCCACACATTCTAATGCTGGCCATTCTTAGCAAGAGAACAAGGTTCTCTGGTACAAGCCTTTTTTAGTATCTATTCATTAATTCCTTCAGGAGGCAGCTGGGATTCCTCTGTTAGTAAATTTTACTTCAACACATAATTTTGTCTTAAGACGTTTAGGGGACAAATGGCCCTATCTTACATAAGTGAATTGAAGCACAAAACAGGTTAATGATTTATTTTATGCCTTCAGCTGTAGAATGCATTATAAGCCACGATATCCTACTAGCTAACTAGTGAACTTAAAACCTCTTCAGATAGGACATCTAAAGTCACAGAATAAAATTGTGCAGAAATCTATCTTGAAAAGGTCCTGACCACTGTCACTAAAATTCTACCTAAGAGAAAGAGGATTATCTTCCCAATGATAACAACTCATATCAGAACTAAAACTCTAGGAATGACAGGAGAAAGGAGGAAAGGGCAAGGGACTGGGGTATACAGAGAAAGGTATACTACATTAACGGAAAGGCTATATTAAAATGGACAAGTTGCATTCCTATTCCTGCCACTAAGCCCTTGGTTAATGGGCTTAATGATTTGTGCTTCAGAAATGCCCTCCAAACTGCTCAAACCTGTAAATTTTTTAAATATTTGAACCATTATGATAACCTGAAACTGTTCACATCTATCTCTTTGTTAGAACTAGTGTCTTAGAAATGCTAAAAAGATTAGTTCTGAAATCACACTGTTCCTAAAATAACTGAAATGCTTCTATTTTCTTTGTCTCATCATTCCTTTTCACCTTTATAATGACATCACAGAAAGAGAAGCACTAAGATCAACTCAACACTATGGTGAGTTTTTACCATATATATAACCTAGAGCCTAATTTTACCTTTTCAAAACTCTAGTTTTCCATACCTGTCAACTCCTAATTGATGTCTTTATACTGTGAGCTCACTGTGTATTCGGAACACCAAACCCTGAAAAAGCTTAAGCCAGAGTAGCACAATGGAAGAAACAAACAAACCCAAAACAAAAACAAAGCCAAAAAAGTCACACTCTGAAATACTTAATTATAGACATATATGCAAGGAATGGAGTTATCTAAATGGCTAAAGTAAATCCCCAAAGAAAGTCCTGAGTTCATCCCAACCAATTCAAACTTTACCCCCAAAAGTTCTTCTTTAATCAAATTATTTGTTAGATATACTTAAGCGTTATTTTCTAATCAAGAGTTTTTACAAACCCATGGTTGCCTTTAAGTACATAAAGAAAGAAAAATTTTTAAAAGGAAAGTAAAGTTAGCCTTGCGATGGAAAGAAAGGAGAGTCAAATTACCTGCAAGCAGGCTGGGGCTGTGCCTGAATCCAAACCGCTGCATTTACCATTCATTATACAGCTGCATTATTGGGGGAAGGGGAGTTTAGAAGGGCACTGACCCCGAAAGTTCTCAATACTTCTCACTCATCATCAGGAAGGGGGAAGAAGGAAAGTTTTTTCTCTGGGTATTTTTTTGTTTGTTTGTTTTTGTTTTTTTGGCTCCTGAAAAGGCTGGCAAAGAACAGTAACAGTGCAAGCAGTTAGAATATTTCTTTAAAAACAGTTTTAAAAAATGCAAAACATTAAGGAATTTAAAACACCAAACTTCCGTTAATATAGAAAGAATTTTCACTAGAGTTAGGCAGCCACCCCAAAACAGCATGGCAAAAGGGCACTGATATAAAGGAAATAAAATACCACACAAAAATCCAAAACAAAACTAAAAACATTTCAAATTAAACCTGGAAGACTAGAAGATTCCAACAGCAGATTTCTGTCCACTACTGAAACATTCCAAAATCCAAGCTTCAAAGGCGCCTAAATGTATCTTAAATGAAACTTTGTTTTTTTTTTAAGAAAAAAAAAAAGAAAGCAAGCAGTGAACCTGGTTATAAATCCTGCAATATATTACATTTAAAAATATCCTAGTACAACAAAAACAAATTTTAAATGAAATTAAACAAACAAACAAACAAATAAAAACAGTAGCAGCAGAGGTTACCTGTCTGAGCACCTACATTTTCTTAGGAGGGGATCGTGTCTCACCAGCCATATAGCCCATAAACCTTCTCAAAAAGAGTGAGCCAGGAGAAAAATGTAACACAAGATTTGATTTCACAATGTCTCTACACTCCCCAGACCCCAAACTGGGGATTCACTGAATGAAGAGAATTTGTTTTTCCATTGTTTTCTTCTTGAGAAAAAGAGATGATTTTTAAAGTCAATTCTTTCAATGCCTTCGATACCTTCTCAAAAGTCTGATAAAGTGCTTGATGAAAGCCAAGTCTCTTGGTGGATTTTTCTAACGTTCCAGCATATTTTCTTATTGATAGCATATACAGAAAGATTTCAAAGTTCAGTGAAGGAAAAGCCAGCAGAAATGACCAATCAATTATTAGGCACCAAAAAAAAGAAAAAACTATTAAAAATTTTAAATGGAATAGTTCATGGGGGTGTGTGTGGCGGTGTGTGTGTGTGTATGTGTAGTCCAGTTTTCATCAGAGGTAACATAAAAACAATATCAGAAAGAATTACTTTTAAAATACAATTAAGAATTACAATTTTAACAATACACAATTTTACAATAGTTCAGATTTGGGCATGATAAGAATTACACATATTTGATAAATACATTTTTAGCTCTCATAATAGCAATGAAGATTATACAAAAGTTATTAAACAATATGAAAATATATTTAAGTTTCACTTATATATCTGGGGTGTTTCATCTGGGTTCTTCCAGAATGATTTGATCATATTCTTTACCTTAATTTTTGAGGGAGTTCAAGAAGATATTCATGTTTTTAAACGCTAAGATGATCATTCCTAACCTCTTTATTCTAACATGTGAGTGTATAAATCCAGAAATAGGTTGGTAAAGCTATGTTTTAATATAGTGTGATTGCAAAAAAGATTGATCAGTAGTGAATAAAACTAAAAGTGAAATAATCTCACATAATTCTTATATTTGGTTAGTTTGGTAAAATAGTTTTAAAGGCTATCTACATTTTTCCTGACACCTTATCCCACCCAGCAACAAACCCTGAGTTTTTCATCAAGTAGAGAGGGTGTTCTATTTATGTTTTAAAATTCATAAATCTATATACATGTGATATGTATTTAATGTATCATAATTTATGTGACAACCAGATGCTCTCTACACAATCATATGAATAACTTAATTAAGCACTTCTTTCTCCCTCATTTATTTCTCTATCCCAAATATGCATCCTCCTATGGTCATTCAGTGAAAGTACCACCAAGTATTTCTTTCTGTTAATGAGTCAGAGGTACTTATAGACATATGTAAGGCCCACAATAACCCTATGCAAATTCTTTTATATGAGATTAGAATATCTTAAAATAAATTAGAAAATCCTCTTATTATCATCTTTTTTCTGAGTTGAAATGAGACACTGCACAGATCAGAAGTACTATTCTATTTGCCAACAATCAACCTTTCACTCAATTTCAATATTATTTAATTCTATGGAAAAGAACAAATTTTATTACATTCCTTTTTAAAATGGGGGAAAAAACTGTACAAGCATGATCAAACCTCTGTTAGAGCTGGTTAATACTGATCTTTTATTATTGCCTTGAAGTCTCTCTAGTAGTGTCCGAGAAATTATGTTTAAGGTCCATCTGAAGGAAAAAAAGCACTGGAGAGGCAAGAAAGGACTCAGGTAAAAGCTTCAGAGGATTGTAGTGAGATGGAACTTGCTGTTTAAAAAAATTACGTTGAGTTCTGGAGCATCTCCATTTCTTAACACACCTTCCAAACCCATTATTCAAATAGATTTACCCATGTTTTAAAGGCTCGTGTTATATGCCATTTTGGGGCTTTTATAAATTCAGAAAATAAAGGAATATAAAGAGTGGACAGTATTGAAGGCTTCAGAGTTGGGCTGTAAGAGACTTAATACTGCAAAATAAGTCTCCAGACAAAAATGTCCAGTCCACCCCACCCTAAAACCTATGTGTAATAGGAGAAAATGCACAGCCAGAAGCATAGAAAAGCATGTAGCCTTAAATAAATCATACACTGAACAGTCTAGAACCAAAGAAAAAAACCAAACAACATACATATACATTAAAAGGCCTTAGAAGCATCTATTCTCTTTAAGTCTTTAGTGAGTACCTCTACCCCAGTGTAGTTATTTCTGTTATTTAAAGTAAAAACTGTGTTTCCCCATCATGCTCCATTTTCTAGAATCTATCCTTTTTGATTGGTTGGTGTAAACAAAAAGCAAAACACATACACATGCATGCGTGCACACACACACATATATATACTCCCTCCTAAAATGTGAAAAATGCAAATATATAATGCTGGTATTATAAAATCACTTCAGCTTTATACTTAAGAACTTATAGGCCCTTGATTTGCCCCCCAAAAATATTTTCCCTTGTCCTTATACTTTAAATGCCCAACCACCAAAAGAAAAAAGGAAAAAGGAAAAGGCTTTAAATGCACATGTTTCAAGTCAGTGTCTTGTTAACAAAAAGGTAGCACTTTCTTCACTTTGGCCATTGTTAAAGATGCAGGCATAGATCAGGGAATGTTAGACTAGCATGTATTAAAAAAAAATTGCAACATTAACAGAGCATGTATCTTTCAAAAAAGATTAAAACACTAACATATACAAGTCAATGCACATATTTTAAACTAGTGTAATTTTATCTACATTGGAGTAAATGTCATTTTGTGTACCAGACATTGCAATACTGTTCACTTCCCTTTCATCATACGAAAATGCCAATTCTGTCATTAAGAAACCTTTATTTATTGGGTCATACTAATGTTGCCCTCCCACCCAAATTAAAGGAAAACCAAAAAACAGAAATAATAAATCCCAGTAAAAGAGTTCCTCAAGACTTCATAAACTATGAACATAAAGTTGCTAGTTAATATGGTAAAGGCAGAATTTTCAGATTTGTATGTAAAAATTCCTATAATTTAGGTAGATGTTTTCCTCTCATTACAAATCTCTGCAATGCGATGTGAAGTAACGCTACAACAAAATTTGTAGCAACTGTACAAAAGCAAAAGCAAGGGGCCATGAAGAAAAAGTTGTGTGTTCTTCATGACCTGAGAGCATACACATTGAGTAATTTTAAAGGGTTACAGAAGAGCCTGACATTTTTCTGTATCTCACCTCTTCTGCCATTCTATCTGTAGTATCTGTAAATGAAAGTCAGTAACATCTTAATAGCAGAGGTCGAGTCTATCTCCCCTTTCTTCTCTCCTAATTCTACTCAATTTTCTCTCATCTTCCTGAGTACCCTTCCATGAACAGCATTGCAAGTTGGTTTAAAAAAAAAGAAAGAAAGAAAGAAAGAAAAAAAAGAAGAAAAAGAAAGTGAGTTTTACAAGGTTTTGTTGGTTAATTATTTACCGGTGGAGTCACTCCACCAGGAGTTTGATTTCATTGGCTATCAGCTGGTTCATGTTGAATAGGCCCCCTGGGAGCTTGGTGAGTAGCTCTCGCTCCGTGCTTTCAGGGTCGCTGTCAACAGAGCTGGAACTTGCGCTCATGTTGTCGACAGCAGTGCTGGCTGGGGGACCCAGCTCCGGCTCACTAGTCTCACTGGCCGTGGACACCACGGAGAGCAGGGACATACGCCGGGTGAGCCGGCCAGAGGGCAGGAGGGAGGCGGCATAGTCCGCTATGATACCAGCTACATCTAGATTACAAGCCTTATCAAAGGCGATGAAACCTACATTTGCATTGGCCTCGCAGACACAGAAGGAGCCGTCATCTTTCATCAATAGGTCAATGCCACACACATCCATCCCCAGGATATTAGACACCTGGATAGCTAGCTGCTTCCCTTGTTCACTCAAGGAGCACATCATCCCCACACCACCTGGCAAAAAAGAAACAACATAAGTTACCAAAATGATACATTTTTAGAGTAAAACTAAAACTTGCCTCTAATGCTGATTGTCTTTTAAATTAGCAGTGATAACAAATGTGCCATTCTAGTGTAAAACTGTGACTTCCGAAATCTGTTTCCTTCATTAGAGAATCCCTGTCCAATTCAAAGAAATAACTTAGTATTTTTTCAATATGGTTTTTCTGAAGATGGCATAAACTTTCACAGAAACTTATTTTACTTGGAATAATATGGATCAAGGTAATATTCTTAAGACCTCATATTTCTATGAAGGCAGAAGAGAGTAGAAAACTGAGAGTATCAGGGAAAACTGTTACCTTCTCAAATAATAGGAGGAAATAGTGTCTGATTTAAGCATATGGAAAGAAAAAATTAACCACTAATGGAATGTAAAACTGCGGATGAGCATCCAGATTGACTGAGTTTGGGAACCGGGGTGGAAATGGAATTAATGGTACCTTACAAAACAGCAAACACAAAATAAAACTGGAATAAAGGAATAACATGAATTGTATTGGCAATTACACTAAAGACAAACTGAAATTTCCCATGGAAAAGGTGGAAACTGGTCAGATTGGTATGAAAGACGAAGTTTATCTATATACTGTACCAAACAAAAAAATTTCTGAAAACTAAAGGGATGGGCAAAGAGATAAGGGACAAAGGCAAAAACAAACTTCACTTCATAGCTTTATACCTCTTGAATATAGTATATACCCACATACCCATTTTTCCTTTACTGACAATAAACAATCACGTGTTTGCCCAAACCAAACAAAGGGCGCCTGAGTGGCTCAGATGGTTAAGCGTCTGCCTTCGGCTCAGGTCATGATCCCAAAGTCCTGGGATCAAGTCCCGCATCGGGCTCCCTGCTTCTCTCTCTCTCTCTCTCATGAATAAATAAATAAAATCTTTAAAAAAAAAAGAGAGAGAGAGAGAAAGAGAGAGCATGTTAAGTGGGGGGTTGGGACAGATGGAGGGAGAGAATGAATCCCAAGTAGGCTCCAAGCTCAGCTCAGCGTGAGATCTCAAAACCCTGAGATCATGACCTGAGCCAAAATCAAGAGTCAGACGCTCAGGGCGCCTGGGTGGCTCAGTTGGTTAAGCGACTGCCTTCAGCTCAGGTCATGGTCCTGGAGTCCCGGGATCGAGTCCCGCATTGGGCTCCCTGCTCGGCAGGGAATCTGCTTCTCCCTCTGACCCTCCTCCCCTGTCTCATAAATAAATAAAATCTAAAAAAAAAAAAAAAAAAAAAAGAGTCAGACACTCAGCCGACAGAGCGGAGGTGTCCCAACAAATTATAAACACTTATAAAACACTTTTTACAGGCAACATTCCCTGACAATAACCCAAGAAGATTAGAAATTAGGAATTAATGATTTAAGTAACCAAAAGGTTATTAAGGACTTAGAAACTGATCCCCTAAATTAAAGGAAAATAAATACCATCTGTAAAAACACTTCATACTAAAACTTATTTTGAAATTAGAAAGAAACTAAGTACTCTAAAAAAAAGAAACTAAGAAGAAATTAAGAAGAGAGACTTAATAAAGAAAAAAAGTTGAATGACTAGAAAAGAAAAAATAGAGGAGAAAAAAAATCCAAGTGCTACTTTGACAAAATTATGAATGATATCAAAGAAAGAACTGCAGACAAAAGAAGAGATTCAAATAAACATAAGCAATCATCTCATGAAACTGAAGACTGAGGCCTGCCTGAAACCTAAAACAAATGGCTGATTTATTTTTTTTTTTAAAGATTTTACTTATTTGACAGAGAGAGAGACCGCGAGAGCAGGAACAAAAGCAGGGGGAGTGGGAGAGGGAGAAGCAGACTCCCGGCCGAGCAGGGAGACCGATGTGGGACTTGATCCTAGGACCCCAGGATCATGACCTGAGCTGAAGGCAGATACGTAACAACTGAGCCACCCAGGCGCCCCACAAATGGCTGATTTCTAAACAAACGAGAAATCATCATTCATCCAAGAAGAAGGAAACTGTATTAAACAGGCCAACTATTATTACAGAAGAGACTGGAAAGGTGATAAAAGAGCTACTTCTACAAAAAGAATCAGGACAGGGTGCCTGGGTGGCTCAGTTGGTTAAGCGACTGCCTTCGGCTCAGGTCATGATCCCGGAGTCCTGGGATCGAGTCCCGCATCGGGCTCCCTGCTCGGCAGGGAGTCTGCTTCTCCCTCTGACCCTCCTCCCTCTCATGCTCTCTGTATCTCATTCTCTCTGTCTCAAATAAATAAATAAAATCTTTAAAAAAAAAAAAAAAAGAATCAGGACAGGATGGTTTCAAAGTGGAGTTTTCTTTAGCTATCCTTTATTCCGATGTTAACTTTACCTGTAGAATGCCCTAGGAAAAGACTGAAAATTTCCCAATACACTGAATAAAAACCAATGTTACATAACCTTGATCAAGTCATTTTAAAAAGTAACATTATAGACCAATCTTTAATTATTAAAATAGATGTAACTATTTTACATGAAATACTAAAGGAATACCAATTTACAAGTATGCTAATACCTATTTAAAGGTTTATTCTAGAAATGCAAGGGTAGTTCAAAAACTGTTTTAAATCTAAAATTTATCAACATAATCCATTACACAAAGAAATTAAAGGTGGAAAACACACTAATGATCTTATCAATACAAGAATTCCAAAAGACACTGGATAAAATTAGACAATCATTCCTACTTAAAAACTCTAGTAGAACAGAGTTACTTAAGTATTCTAAATAGCAAATTAAATCTATTTCAATGAAAATCAGAAACTTAGGAGCACCTGGGTGGCTCAGTCATTAAGCGTCTGCCTTCGGCTCAGGTCACGATCCCAGGATTCTGGGATCGAGCCCCGCACTGGGCTCCCTGCTCCATGGGAAGCCTGCTTCCCCCTCTCCCACTCCCCCTGCTTGTGTTCCCTCTCTTGCTGTGTCTGTCAAATAAATAAATAAAATCTTAAAAAAAAGAAAATCAGAAACTTAGATACTTACAATCATTACTTAACACTGTACCAGAGGTTCTAAAGCGGTGGTTCTCAACAGGGGAGAATTTAGAAACTGAATGGTGGCATTTTGGGCTGTTCAATTGAGATTAGAGGAGGAGGGCTCTATAGCCGACATTTAGTGGTTATTGGTCAGAAATGTTAAACAAAAAAGATGACAAATATAATAAAAAGCAATTCATATACAAGTACATGTAAATTACCAATAAGCTATGAAAAGATACTCCCATCATTAACAGGGAAATAAAATTAAAGTTAACAGTGAGATAGCATTTTGACTCCCATTAGATGGGCAAAAACTTAAGATAAAAAAAGTAACAGGGGCGCCTGGGTGGCTCAGTCGGTTAAGCGACTGCCTTCGGCTCAGGTCATGATCCTGGAGTCCCTGGATCGAGTCCCGCATCGGGCTCCCTGCTCGGCGGGGAGTCTGTTTCTCCCTCTGACCCTCCACCCTCTCATGTGCTCTCTCTCATTCTCTCTCTCTCAAATAAATAAATAAAATCTTTTAAAAAAAAAAAAAAAAAAAAAAGTAACAGTGCTTGTGAGGCGGAGATGAAAAAAGGGTATTTTAATATGTCAGACGTAAAAATACACTGATAGCCTTCTGGTAAATTACTCTGGCCACATCTATAAAAATTAAAAATATTTTGACCCAGCAATACCAATCTTGAGACTCCTCAACACAAAAGTACCAGTATGTAAAAGCATTATTCACAAAGATATGTATTTAAAGTAACATGCTCACAGTGGCGAAAAACTGAAAATAAATGCAAATCAATAAAGGGACAGATGTATATATAGTAGGGGAAAGGAGAGTAGAAGAGGTAAGGAAAATGGGGGGGGATGAAAAGGATGACATTTAAATGATTTTATAAAATTATTTAAAATATTTTAAAGTCGACCAAAACCTATTCATTATGGAAAAACCAAAAGTCTCTGCAAAAATAGCTTGAAAGCTGATTTCCAGTACTAACCATAATTATCTAACCTTTAGTTAACTATCCATCAGATGTGTCTAGGTAATTTCACATAACTGAGATCATAATATAGTTAATAAACATTAAGAAGAGTACAGAGGCACATAGCTTAACAGTTTTTTAAAAAGGCTATTTTCATGTCATTTCCTTGAAAATCTAAATGGTATCTGCATAGCTTCCATGTAATTTTTCCAATTTTGGAAATCAACATATTCAAAGAGTGGTTAAGAGGACAACTCTGCAGCCAAATAATACATTGGCATTCTGGCTCCACGATTATTAGATCTGTATCTTGAGCAAGTTACTTAACTGTTCTGGGCCTTCCTCATCTCTAAAATGGGAATACTAACAATATCTAGCAATATCTAAAGAAGTTAATAGTCATTAAGCACTTACTACAGTACCAGAACTGAAGAGATATAGTTACCTTTACTGTAAATACTGAATGTAAGAGAATATTCATATAAAAAAGGACTCTAAACAACTTGCTGCCAGAGGGGAGGGGGTAGGGGAGATGGGTAAAATAGGTGAAAGGGATTAAGAGGTACAAACTTCCAGTTATAAAATAAAGAAGTCATGGGGGTGCCTGGGTGGTGCAGTCCTTAAGCACCTGACTGGTTTCCGCTCAGGTGGTGATCTCGGGTTCATGAGATTGAGCGCTGCCTTGGGGCTCTCCCTTCCTCCCTTCCTCTTCCCCACCCGCCCTCCCCTGCAAGCATGTGTAAATCTTTTTAAAAACTAAATGAATAAATAGGTCATAAGATGAAAGGTATAGATGAAGGGAATATAGTCAGTAACACTGCAATAATGTTATACGGTGACTACTATGCTTGTTGTAGTGAACATCGAGTAATTCACAGAATTATCAAATCACTGTGTTGTACACCTGAAACTAGTATGTCCACTACACTGCAATGATAAGTATTTTTAAAATGTGAGATTACACACACAAAGGAATATTTTTTAGCCATAAAAAAAAAAAAAAAAGAAATCCTACCATTTGTAGCATGGATATATATTGAGGGCATTATACTAAGTGAAATAAGTCACAGAAAGGGAAATACTGTATGATTATATGTGGAATTAAAAAAAAAAGCTCACAGAGAACAGATTGGTGGTTGCCAGAGGGGGGTAGGGGGGAGGAGGCAGGGGAAATGGGTGAAGGTGATCAATGGGTATGAGCTGCCAGTTATAAGATGACTAACTTCTGGGGATATAATGTATAGACTGATGATTATTGTTAACAATACTATATTACATATTTGAAAGTTGCTGAGAGGTTTTTTTTTTTTTAAGATTTATTTTTATTTCAAAAAGAGTGAGAGAATCAGACACTTAACCGACTAAGACCAGATTTTTTTAAAGTTCTCACCACACACACACTCCAGTAATAAATGAAGCAATGGATGCATTAACTAATCTTATCGGGGTAATCATTTTGCAATATATAGATATATAAAATCACTATGTTGTACATTTCAAACTACACAATGTTATATGCCAATTATATCTCAATAAAGATAGAAAAATAAATATCTGGATTACCAAAAATGGGGGGGCCTCCCTGGGGATAGAATAATGAGGGCATTCAATTTTGAAGAATAAGGTAGAGGTGCTCTTGCTCTATCAGATATTTAGGCATACTAGAGGACTTAAGATTGATAATCATATAGGGAATGAAGAGTATATAAAACAGACCAGAGGACCCTGAAACAGAAGGAAAATAGCATTACAAATCAGTAATGAACAGGCTATTCAATAAATAGTGCTGGGAAAACCAGTTGTTAACTCATTTGGAAAAAAGAAAATGGAATCCCTATCTTACACTGAACAACAAAATCAATTTCAGGTAGCTTAACAACCTAAACACGGTAAGTGAAACTTCAAAAACTTTTAGAGGACTATATACAAGAGTAGAACACAACCACAGGGTGAAAAAGAATTTCTTCAATAAAAAATAAAGAATGTAAAGAAAACCATGAATATGCTTGACACTAAAACTGAAAACTTCTGTTCATTAAAATATATAAACCAAAAAGATGAGGGAGCCTGGGTGGCTCAGTCGGTTAAGCAGCTGCTTTCGGCTCAGGTCATGATCTCAGGGTCCTGGGATGGAGCCCCACTTCGGGCTCCCTGCTCAGCAGGGAGAGTATGTGTCTCCCTTTCCCTCTGCCTCTCCTCTCTCTCTCAAATAAATAAATAAAATCTTTGGAGAAAAAAAAAGATGAGGTATCATAAGCTGGGATGAAAACTGCATTTACAATTCATGTAAATGAAGGATTTGAAATCAGATTATATACAGGACTCTTTTTCAAGTCATGTTAAAAAAAAGAAAAAAAAAATTCCAATAAAAAAGGAGGCAAAGGACCTCAACAGGCAATTCACCGAAGATAGATGAAGAGGGTCTGAGGTACAAATTAAAGTAACATGATATAATGTCACACCAGTCTGACAAAATGTTTAAAGTCTATCAATATCACAAGTAGGTAAGAAGGTGGTACTACAAGAAAGAAACATTATATAATAACTTTGGACACTCATTTGGTAATATCTAGTAAAGGTGAAGTTGTATAATTCACTAGGATACAGAAATCCACTTCTGAGTGAATGGGCTAACCTACAAACACAATTGGCCCTGTATCTAAGGACACAAAAAAATTTTCATAGCAACAGCGCTTGTAAAAGGCCCAAATTGGAAGCAGTCAACAGGTAAATTTATGCAGCAGGGAAAATTAATCAACTACTGCTACAATGTTGACATCGATGAGTCTCAAAAATGATGCCAAGTGAAAAAAAAAGAAAGTTATAAATCATTTATATAAAGTTTTATGACACACAAAACAATACCTTGTTTAGGAAGACCGAAGAACTGAAAGTACTTTTAAGGTAAAAAGAAACATCAAGTTCAGAACTTGGGGAGAAGAGGGAGAAATGACCAGGGAGGGGAGTAAACAGAGAATGTAATTAACTTATTTCTCAAGCCAGGTAATGGTTACAAACGATTATATTATCCTTCATACTTTCCTGTAAGCCTCAGTTACTTCAAAATTTAAAAAGTATCACTTCTTAATATAAAATTAACTTACCTTTTTAGTTTCTTTGCTTAAAGTATAAAAAGTAATTGTTAATTAAGTCTCACGGTAGAAAAGTAAGAAGGTAAAGGTGTTCCAGAAATGAAAAAATGCTATTCAACTCTGCAGCAGCTAATAAGCATAATATGACGGGATGGAAAATGTAAAATGAGATATGAAGAACTAATGCCAGGAGGCAGAAATTATTTTTCAAGAGTACAAAAGAGGCTTTATATCACTATTAGCTTTTAAATTCCCTGTGCTCCTATTCTATGCACTATGCTGAATTTCACATTTATCAATAGTTTTTTATAGTTTACTACATAAATTTATATTCCCAGCAAACTATTATTGATTTTTGCGTATATTTAAATTTTATATAAATGGAATCATACTATATGTATTCTCTTCTGTGACTTTCATTTCTTCTCTCAACATTATGTTTCTGAGATTTGCCCCTGAGGCTGTAATCTCAGAGGTAAGTAGGGGTCAAATCATGCAGGGCCTGTTAGTCTACTGTAAGACCAATATAGACTACTGTACTTTGAATGAAGCAAGGAACTACTGGAGGATTTTAAACAAAGCCTGACTTGATTTGACTTGTATTTTAAAAAGATCTATCACATCACTGCTGTGTTAGAAACAGACTGTAGGACAATAAGGACGGAAGCAAGAGGACCAATTAGGGGCGACTACAAGTAATCCAAATAAGGTAAGACAATATTAATGGCAGAGATAATGAGAAATTGTCAGATTTGGATACATTTTGAGAGTAGAAATAAAGAAATCAGAATCTGACAGTTTTTATATGTGGTGTAAGACTCAATGACTAAGTATTTTGGTCTAAATTGGAGAGACAGAGTTGCCATTAAATGATAAGGAGAACGGGGGGTAAAATACACTGGGAGGGGGAGTTTTATCAGGAGTTCACTTTTGGACAGGATTAAAATGTCTGTTAGACAACTACTGGTAGATACTGAGTAGACAGTTATTTATATGTACTTGGAGTTCAGGAAGAAAGCCTAAGGTAGAGATATAAATTTGAAAATAACAACACAGATAGTATTTAGAGCCACAACCAGATCAGATGACTAAGATGAAATACACAGAAAAGAAAAAACTCTAAGGCACTTCAACAATAAGAGATCAAAAAATACACATTAAAGTAAATCAAAAGCAGTAATCTTGTTTGGACCAATGGGTAAAACAGGTTAGGACCCAGCTTGAGTGAACTCCAATTACACACAAAATAAGTATTATCACCAAAGATGGAATTTTTAACTCTGGTCAGACATTTCATACAAGTGTGAATTGGGTTACAAACTGAGCATGGGTAAAAGCAAATTTATGTTTCAGAGAAATCCAATTTTATTACTAGAAAAACAACTCAAAAGTACATTATATTCATTATAAGTCTATTGATCATAGTTACAAGTGAAAGATAATGTTTTTCAACTTACTAAGTAAAAAGACCTGCAGTTATATATGAGTACTCACTAGACAAGCTATAATATTATATATACTAGAAAGACACCTGCATTGTTTTTACCTAGTGAGCAGTTGCTCTGCATCCTTCCATCTGTTGAACAACGTAACATGGTGCCAACCACACGGCCTCCCACAACAATGACACGCACATCCCGTCCATGAGATTCCTTAATATACTTCTGGAACAGGTATGGAGCTTCATGGCGAATAAGATGGCTTAGATCAGCCAAATGGTGCTTATCTCGAGCCAAGAAAACCGCTTTGCCTGTGGTTGAAAAAGAATACAAAATATATGTAAGTCAAACTCTGAGCAGTTGATATGTATCACCTGCATCTTCTTGGGTCTCAACCTGCTCTTTCAGGATCTATTACTTTTTAACCAAAGTAACAGTTATGGTAATGAGTAAACAATGCAAAAATGTGTATAAAGTTAATACTCTCCTACCACTCCCTTAATTCCTACATTAATCTAGAATTTATTTCGGTATATGTCATGAAGTAGGGGTCTAAGATTTGTACTCCTCCAGGTGAGCCAATAATGCCAGCCTCATTTATTAGCAAAACATTTTCCTCTGAGTAAAAACAAGTCCTACATATTAATATACAATATATATAACACTTGCATAGAATAAAATAGTATGTTACTACATACCTAGTTTTATTTCTGAGTTCACTAGACAATTCCATTACTGTATTTGTCAATTTCTATGATAAAACAAGTGGTTGCTTTTAAAGCATGGGTATGGGGCGCCTGGGTGGCTAAGTTGGTTAAGCATCTACCTTCAGCACAGGTCATGATCCTGGAGTCCTAGGATCCAGCCTGAATCAGACTCCCTGCTCAAAGGGAGACTTTCTCCCTCTCCCTCTGCCCCAATGCCCGCCTGTGATCGATCTCTCTCTCAAATAAATAAATAAATAAATAAATAAATAAATAAATAAATAAATAAAATCCTTTAAAGACAGTAAAATAAAATGGGTACAAATCCTTTGACATTCTTCCCACTGAGAAGAGGGGGAATCTTTGTCCCTTCCCTTTGAATCAAGGAGGGGCTGTGATTGCTTCGAACAATGGAACACAGCAGAAGCTTTTCTGTATGACTTCTGAGGCTAATTCATAAAAGATCATGTCGCTTCTGTGTTCACTGGAGCCTCTCTGTGGAGCCCTAAGACTTCTTGGCTGCCATACTGGAGACCTAATGATAATACATTCGACAGCCCCAGCTGAACCCCGATCCAACTATCTCTGTCAAGGCATCAAGCTTTATGAAGTACTTGGATCCATGAAAATTTTGAAAATGAAATCCTTACTATTCTATAGCTTCATAGCTTTGCTTTATATATTTAAGTCTTCAAACTATATAAATTGGGACAGGGATCACTGGAGTTAGTGATCCAAGGTCCTTGCATTGTTAAAGAGAAAGATAAAGATATAATTTGAAGGTTGGTCTAAATTAAATATGCATCTTAAAATCTCCAGGACAACCACTAAATGAACAGAAATAGCTTCTAGGGGCACCTGGGTGGCTAAGATGGTTAAGCGTCTGCCTTCGGCTCGGGACATGATCCCAGGGTCCTCGGATCGAGCCCCACATCGGGCTCCTGGCTCAGCAGGGAGCCTGTTTCTCCCTCTTCCTCTGCCCCTCTCTATCTCTGTGTCACAAATGAATAAATAAAAAATCTTAAAAAAAAGAAATAGCTTCTAGCCAAAGTGAACAACTCACAGTAGACCTCCATAAGTTTGAAGTACCATGTACCAACAATTTCCTTCTATTCTCCCAAAGTCCTTTCAAAAGCTATTCATTTCAATTGTTAAGACTACTGTCTAGTCAATAACCATAAGGAAATATAAAGAAAATAATAGCAATGATTAGATTAAGAAAAATTTATTTTGTATAATCACCCTTATTAATTCTCAAGAGTAATCTCAAAATGATGTACCATAGTAACAATTCGTACACACCTCTATGACCTCGAGTATTCTTCACTACCATTGGAAACTCCAGTACTTCTGCTTCATCAATCATTTTAGCAAAATTTTCATGACCGCCTGGTTTGAGCAAAAAAGAAATTAAAAACAGTAACACAGGTGTTATGTGGTAAGTTTTATCTATACTAAAGTCAGCAACACAGAGGAGGTAGAAGGTTAAGAACCTGGTGGCTAAATTTTGTTTTTCTTAAAGAAAGTAATTAAAAGTCGAGGGGTGCCTGTAGCGCCCGGGTGGCTCAGTCAGCTGAGCATCTACCTTCAGCTCAGGACATGATCCCGGGGCCCTGGGATCAAGCCCCACATGGGGCTCCCTGCTCAGTTGGGAGTCTGCTTCTCCCTCTCCCCGCTGCTCATGTCCTCTCTCACACACTAATAAATGAACAGTATCTTTAAAAAAAAAGGTTGAAGGGTGCCTGGGTGGCTCAGGCAGTTAAGCATCCAACCCTTAATCTCAGGTCAGGTCTTGATCTCATGATCTCACGGTCATGAGTTCAAGCCCCATGCACAGCATGGAGCCTACTTTAAAAAGCTGTTAAGTACAGTTAAATACCAGTTTGAAACAACCCCTGTTAAAATGGATGAAAGCTATCTTAAACTACAAATATTCTAGTATCTAACTTAAAGAAATTAAGTATCTTTCAGCTCACTTTCCTAATTCTATACGATATTTTATATTTTTATCCCTTATTCCTCTGCTACACAAAATAACAGAAGCATCAAGATCTACTTCAGTGTACTTATTGCCCGGTTTAGAATAAGAAAAGGAAGAATGAGTCTGTTTAGAAGACTCATCCAAGGTTGATGCCACGTGTTCTCTCCCTCTCACGAAACATACAAATTAATTTTTATCTTCATTATAATCAGCGTTCTTTCTACACTGAGCCACCTAGTACCCATGAGTTAAGTTTTATTCTTTCCTGTTTTTACTGCCTAAGAACAAATGATACAGTAGTAAGATTAGAGCAAAAATGAACTTACATTTACAAAAATGTAAAAAATCAGCATGGTGATAAAAAAAAAATTAAACCAGGAAAAAGTTCGTTAATCAAATGCAGTATCACACATTTACAGCTTAGAGAAATTAAGATGATTCAGTCCCCTAATTTTAAACCTTCAACATGAGAGTATAGGTAACATTTGTTAATTTGTTTAACTCTTTTCTCCTTTCCACTCTCTTGAAATCCAAAGTGTAGACCCATAATATAAGCTAGAATATCCCAAAAGCATCTGACAGAATTCTCAAACATACGGTCTCTTCTTATGCAATTGCTAAAAACAGCAACTGTATCCACACATGCCATACAGACTTGGGGAGCTCCTTTTAAGTTGGGGGGCGCCTGGGTGACTCAGTCGTTAAGCATCTGCCTTCAGCTCAGGTCATGATTCCAGGGTCCTGGGATCGAGCCCTGCATTGGGCTCCCTGCTCAGCAGGAAGCCTGCTTCGCTTCTCCCTCTCCCGGAACTCCCCCTGCTTGTGTTCCCTCTCTTGCTGTGTCTCTGTCAAATAAATAAATAAAATCTTTAAAAAAATTTAGGTTGGGGCACCTGAGTGATTCAAGTCAGTTAAACGTCCGACTCTTCATTTTGGCTCAGGTCATGATCTCAGGGTCATGAGACTTGAGCCCTGTTACGGGCTCCACACTCAGTGCAGAGTTTGCTTGTCCCTTTCCCTCTAATCCTCCCCACACGTGCGGATGTGCGTGCGTTCTGTCTCTCTCTCATAAATAAATAAATCGTTTATATATATATAAAAAAAAGCCTCATTAACTCTCCAAAAACACTACTGAACATTTATTTGAGGAATTGTCTTTATGGAAAATTGTAATGATTTATAGTAAGTTTGATCCTTTCCAAACAAAAGAACTGGACAGGCAGGAAATATACTAACACAATATTACTTACGACAGTGCTACTCAAAAGCGTTGTCCGGTAACCTGTGCCTGTTCGCAACTTCTCTGATACTGATATGTGACCCGATAAATATAAAAAGAGTAGCACTGAAAGCTTTTATAGCAATCTTGCATTGCTCAGACATTTTTATCATATTTTATAAGAGTACTGATCCACAGCATGTTGGTCTTTTAAAAAAAAATGATCCTTTACCTTTACCATAGATAGTTTTGGAAGCAATGGTTTTCAAGTATACCTAGGATAGGTCATTTTCTTAAAAAATATGAAAAATTTATTAAGAATTACCATGAAAATGCTGGTAAGGATAATCAGACATTAAACAGAGATGTCACCAAATTGTATTATCTTTTACCATGTCATTGGCAAACTAAGGCTTTTAAGACAGATTTGGTCCAGTGTCTTTTTTTATAATAAAGTTTTATTGGAACACTGCCATACTCATTTAAGTGTGGCCTATGGCAGCTTTCACACTACAACAGCATTACTGAGGGTCACAAGAGAGGACTGATGACCCAGAAAGTGCAAAATATTTACTATTTGGCCCTTAATAAAAAGTTTGCTAAATCTACTCTACCAGTATCATGGAATTAAATCTTAACACAGATTTATAATTCTCGTGCCTAGTTTGTTAAAACTGAAAGGTTTTTTTTTTAAGATTTTATTTATTTGACAGAGAGAGACACAGCGAGAGAGGGAACACAAGCAGGGGGAGTGGGAGAGGGAGAAGCAGGCTTCCTGCCGAGCAGGGAGCCCAATGTCGGGCTCAATCCCAGGACCCTGGGATCATGACCTGAGTCAAAGGCAGACGCTTAACGACTAAGCCACCCAGGCGCCCCAAAACTGAAAGTTATTTCTATAAAAAGTTCCTTCATGTATCACATAACCCTATTAATTCAGTATGGCTTTCAAAACTATAAGTGCTGTAAAACTTAGGCTATAAATTCTTATTAATGAACTTACCGTAAGAGAAAGTATCTGGTAGAGGAACACCATGGCCAGCCAACTCTTGAAAAGTCCAAAACTTATTAACACAGTTCAGGATGGCTTGAGGTCGGTTCATCAACCGGCATCCCATCTTCTCTAAATGGCGCAAAACAGTGATGTCACTATCACTTTGCACCCAAGGGGTTGGTACTCTCACTACCACCACTTGGGGATAGGCAGTAATTAGTTCTCCATTGATCCGTAGACCTGAAATATATAGGAATGAAGTCAAAACCATTAAAAGGGAATATACCTATATATATATATATATATACACACACACACATATATATACACACACACACTTTATATTGGGTCACGAAACTAAAAGTACAATACAATTTTGTTAAGGTTTCACTGGAAGGAGACATTCCTTATATTCCTTTACAAGAAAAAAAGAAAATTTAATGAGAAAAATTTCTGCAGTGGTTAAATTATGGTATGTGTCAATAAAATGAAATACCAGAAAGCCTTAAAAAAAAAAAAATGTCACAGGGCACCTGGCTGGCTCAGTCATTAGAGCCTGTGACTCTTGATCTCAGGGTTGTAGGTCCCAGCCACATGCTGGGTCTAGAAATTCCTTAAAAATAAAATCTTAAGGGCGCCTGGGTGGCTCAGTCGTTATGCATCTGCCTTCGGCTCAGGTCATGATCCCAGGGTCCTGGGATCGAGTCCCACATTGGGCTCCCTGCTCAGCAGGAAGCCTGCTTCTCTGTCTCCCATTCCCCCTGCTTGTGTTCCTGCTCTCCCTGTCTCGCTCTCTGTCAAATAAATAAATAAAATAAATAAATTAAAAAAAAACAACCAAAAGCAAAGCAGATGTATGGAATTGTTGAAGCACTACACTGTACACCTGAAATTAACATAACACTGTATGCTAACTATATTAAATTTAATTTAATGGAATTAAATTCTGTATTAATTATATTTTTATGTATTCATTTTAGATAAAGCAAGAAATAAGGAAGTTGCCATCTTTTATGGTTTTTCTCGTATGATTTTACGCCTAGGTGTTGCATTTTTTCAACACCTGCTAAAATTTATTCTTTAAAAAAAAAAAAAATCCAAAAACAGGGGCACCCAGGAGGCTTATTGGGGACCACATGCAACGCTTGATCTCGAGGTTATAAGTTTGAGCCACAACTTGGGTGTAGAGATTACTTAAAAATTTTAAAAGTCTTTTAAAAAAAACCTGTTTACATTAAAAAATAGTATGCTTGTTTTAAAACATTCAAATACAAAAATATATGATGTATTCAGCTCCCATCCAATATCCTAGGTACTCAGTGTTTATAGTGTATTTTCCCCACTGCTAAGTATACAAAAATATTTAGATTATTTTTAGAAAAATTATAGATATTTTACGTTACTTTCTCTCATCACTTAAAATTACACCAGAGACATCTTTCTCTGTCAGTACATATAACGTTTCATTTCCTTCTCTTTTTAGTGGAATTTAACTGGACTTATATCTTATATGAGATATACCATATGACCAATACCTTACTCATAGACATTCATTTACTTAATATTAAGCTATTACTATGTGTCAGATTATTTTGTAAAGATTAGAAATAGATTGGTAAATAAGGCAGATAAGGTCCTTATTCTTAGAAGAATCCATTCTAGTGGGAGAGACACTTTTAAACGTGGAAGTTCTGATATAGGAGAGAGAAGTGGGTTATCACCTGAGTTAGGGTATAAGACTTAGTTATGTGTATGTTTAAAGAGGAAGGAAACTTCACATTTAAGGGAGTTGAAGTCACAGAACAAAAAAGCAGTAAGTAAGTGGTTCAACTACAATATTTACTAACAGAATGTAAAAGATAAGGTTGGTCATTTAAGCTGTCAAACATGAAAAGCCACAAGTTTTTATTAAGATATAACTGCCATATAACACTGTATTAGTTTTAGGTGTACAACATAATGCTTTAATATATGAAATACATTGGGAGATGATCACTACAATAAATTTACTGAACATCTATCACTCTCTTAGCAACATTTATATATACAATATAGGAGTACCTGCATGACTTAGTCAGTTGAGCAACTAACTCTTAATTTCAGCTCAGGTCATAATCCCAGGGTTGTGAGACTGAGCCGTGTCAGAGTCTGCACTGGGTGTAGAGCCTGCTTAATATTCTCTCTCCCCCTTGGGCCCCCTCCCCATCCCTTCTCTCTTTAAAAGAGAAATATACACTACAGTATTGTCAGTCATAGTCACCACGCTGAACATTACATCCCTAGGATTTATTTATAACTTGGAAGTCTGTACTGTTTGACCACCATTTCCCATTTCCTCCACCCCACTACCCACCTCTGACAACCACCAAACTGTTTTCTGTACCTATGAGTTCGGCTTTTTTTTGATTCCACATATAAGATCATACAGCATCTGCCTTTCCTGTCTGACTTACTTCTCTTAGCATAATACCTGCAAGGTCCCTCCATATTGTCACAAATGGCAGAACTTCCTTCTTTTCAATGGATGAATAATATTTAAATATATGTACATATGTATCACATTTTCTTTATTCATCTGTCAATGGACACTTAGGTTATTCCTATGTCTTAGCTATCATAAATAATAAAGCACTGAACATGGGGCATGCAGATACATCTTTGAGATAGTGGTTTTGTTTCATTCAGGTAAATACTTAGACCTGGAATTGCTGGATCCACAAATTCTAAGCTAAAGAGTTTATATTTGTTCTGAGTAAGGGAACTCAGACTGTGTGCTGCATACTGCCTGTGATACTTCACACTATCTCCATCTTTTAATCCTTCTCTATATGGCAGGATCTAGAAGCATTTCCCACACTCCCTTACCAGCAGGATTCGATTTTGAAAATCTACCACCAAGACAGAATTACACAAAAATTTAAAGGTCAAAGAGAAGTAGAAGTCACTATTCTCCAGGGGCAGCTGCACATAGGTATGTAGTCATTGGGAGATGTGAGGTTTTGCCAGTGGCTTCAGGGATTCCCATAATCATTCATGGTGCGGCTACAGGTATCTTGAGATCAGCACCATACAGTTGTCTGCAATCCCGCACTTTGTCATTTAAAAAAAAATGTATTTTATTTATTTGAGAGAGAAGGGGGGGAGGAGCATACAGAGAGGGACAAGCAAAGCAGACACCGTGATAAGCATGGAGCCTGACATGGGGCTTGATCTCATGACCCCGAGATTATGACCCGAGCCGAAATCAAGAGTCAGAGGCTTAAGTGACTGAGCCACCCAGGCGCCCCTGCCCTTTCTCAATTCTTAGGCTTTTTAGTGACTTGCCTCAATCGGCAAATGTAAAAAGCATTTTTTTTAAGACAGAAGAAATTTATTGACCAGATTGGGAGTTACAAGTTTTTAAACTAAGACATGAAGAATGAGAAGTTAAAAAAGCAAAGCCATTTTAGGGCAGAAGATGCTGAATTTGGATATAAAAGATTTCAGTGATAACATGAGGACATCAAAGTGTAACTATTCTGTAATAGTAGAAGTATGGGTTGAAACTATACATATATGTGTACATAATTCATATTGGTATTGTGGAGTGTGTGTACATGTGTGCATATTTACTTGTCTGTTTACTGGAATTTGCCCAAGACATAATAGCTAAGGAAACAGCGATATATAGGCTGAAAAAAAAAACCTGAAAAAATGAAGAAACCTAAGACCAAGATTTGATGGATATCAATCAGAGACAGCGAAAGGAACTAAAAACCTGAGGGGGAAAAAATCAGCCAAAACACTAGGAAAATCTACTTTTAAGTAGTATTGTGAAAAATGAGAAAGGTCAGCATAATCAGGAGAGAATGATCAAATTCACTAAATAAAACAGAAGAAATAGGAAGGATGAGTTTTAAGAAGTCTGAGTGATCAGAAAAGGATACTGTCAATTGCCAAGAGAAAAATTCAACCATCATTATAGTTTCATCTCATTTCCCTAAACTGCACTTTTAAGAAATGTGATAAAATTGGGGCACCTGGGTGGCACAGTTCGTTAATCAGCCAACTCTTGGGTTTGGGCTCAGGTCGTGATCTCAGGGTCATTAAGACCAAGCCCCACGTCAGGCTCCACGCTTAGCACAGAGTCTGCTTAGTACTCGCTCTCCCTTCCCCTTGTGCATTCTCTCTCTCAAAATACACATAAATCTTAAGAAAGAAAGCAATGGAAATGTTCCACGCTTAGTCCACCCATCTGTTGCCACCAGAAATTGGGAGTATAGGAGTACTTTACCCAAAGTGCATATCTGCATACTACACTATATGGGTATTATTGATGAAAAGAAATTCAATACCTCTTGTATCAGAAACAAACACTTCTTTTTTTTAGATAAGCAGAAGGTGAACCAAGACTAGAAAGAAGGGCAGGTACAGATCAATGTGAGCCCAAAAAGGCAAAACAACATCTCTCAGAACTCTGCCTTAAATGTTACTCATCTTTTGGGCACTGTTAGCAAATGCTGTACCATTACCTTTGATGTAGAGTTTATAAAACTGAAATATAAGATCCCTGTTACTCAGTATACACGTGCACAAAGATGTGTATAGAATTTTCCCCACAATTCCATTACACTCATCGTAAAATAGTTGAATGTGCTACCACTCACTTTGCTAGACTCCATTTTCTCAGAAATATATTTTTTACTTATCTTAAACCTCAACTTGTGAAACCGTTCATCTAATTTTATTTTGTACTGGGATGAAGATTTCAATACAAATATTTTAGATTTTACATTTTAGATTAAGTGCATGATCAAGCATTAACAACCAATAATAAGTGAACCTTAGAAAAGCAATGGGGAGGGGGTTATTCCTATATTTTCGAGATAAGAAATTTATCATGTAGAGGTACCTGGATGGCTCAGTCAGTTAGGCATCCAACTCCTGATCTCAGCTCAGGTCTTGATCTCAGGGTCGTGAGGTCAAGCCCTGCACTGGGCTCCATGCTGGGTATGGAGCCTACTTTTTTTTTTTTTTTTTAAAGATTTTATTTATTTATTTGACAGAGAGAGACACAGCGAAAAGAGGGAACACAAGCAGGGGGAGTGGTAGAGGGAGAAGCAGGCTTCCCGTGGAGCAGGGATCCTGATGCGGGGCTCGATCCCAGGACCCTGGGATCATGACCTGAGCCAAAGGCAGATGCTTAACGACTGAGCCACCCAGGCGCCCCTGGAGCCTACTTTTAAAAAAAAGTATTAGGC